TAAGAAGCCGTCCAAAAGTAGAAAAACTAAAAAACAAAAAAATCGCACCTCCTTTCTAAGCCTTTTTCGGCTGATCTTCTATGGTTTTTACCTGGTTTTCAGCTAACTCAGTAATTCCCCCTTTAATAAGTTTTGTAACATCTTTTGTCTTACATGCTTACCGACCTAATTAATTGACTTTTAAATGGGTGTTACTAACTGATAACGGGCCAGAGCGGTGGAAACTTATAAACGAAGAGTATCCACCTATTGGTAAGGCGGCTGACAAAGTTTGACTATACTTCCGATGATCAAAACGTTACTTCTCCTTACCGCCCACTCCTCGTTACGTACTGAAGATTTTGTCTTTTTCCCAGCTTCTCCGGAAGATACCCATGGCAGTTTTGACATAGTATTTCCCGAGAGATTAGACAAAGGACGAGCAAAGAGAAATTTGTTAACGAAATGAAAGGTACTTGATCAAGAAGAACTTACGTTTATATCCTGGAATAGTCGCTTGAGCTCTCTTCCACTCTTGTCTATGGATTATGAGCAGAGTTGGTGATTCAGAAGATAGTAAGCGTTACAAATCGACGAAGGCCAATTTCTTGAGCATCTGTGAGAAAGAAAGTAAAGACCCAAGAGGAGCAATTAAAAATGACAATTTGACGCTTAAATCTTTGTCTGTCAATCTGCCTGCTAAAAAAGTTCTGCGGACACTACGAAAGGATGAATTTTACATTATAGTTTTATCCCGGGGGGGAGGGGTACTACCATATACGGGCTATATAGGTATGTGCCGCTGTGAAGGGTATGGTTTTCAAGCAGTTTACTCTACGATAGGGTATATAAATCAGAGCGATTGGGTCTAGAATAGGGTATCATTTTTTTAGGAAACTGATCAGTTGGTTGAAGATTTTATCTAGACTAGGGATTGTGGTATAAGGTTTTGTTTTGGCTAGAGTGCGCTAGACTGTGCTAGTGACCTCAGTAGTTTCTGGAAAAAAGCTACTCTAGGATAGGGGGGATTTGGGGAGTTTACTCTAGTGTAGGGTAGCAAAATTCAGCTGAACTAGCTCGGGGATAGGTTAATGGTTCCAGGGTTCCAGGGTCCCAGTGGCACATCCCCACCCAGAAATTCCTAAAGTACCCCCCCCCCCCCCCCCCCCCCCCCCTCCCCTCCTTACTACTTCAACCCCCCCCCCCCCCTATGCGTGTTTGTATTATTATAAATTTTTTCTCTGGTTTACCACACAAAACACAAACAAACCGCCCCCATCCCAAACCAACACCATTAGGCAGAAAACAGGGTTCCAGGGTCCCAGTGGCACATCCCCACCCAGAAATTCCTAAAGTACCCCCCCCCCCGCCCCCGGGAATTTGATCCTTATACTAACTTGGCCCCGTGCGCGCTTTAATGAATTGATGAATTAATCAAACTTGTTGCCGTTTTAACACCAGAAAGGACAAGACGACCGGGCTTCCTTCAAACTGAAAGCCTTTGGGAAACAAGTGTTTGTGGACGTTCGTCTTAACAAGTAAGTGCTGTAGGTTTTATAACCGGGAGAAAATATTTCCTATGTTTTTAAGCGGTAGCAAATCTTAGAACAAAACCCTCCTCACCCACCTCCCCCTGCCTGGACAAGACAAGAGGCTCTCCACTGCGAGATTTAGGTACAGTGGAACCTCAATATAACGAACCACTATATAACGAAGTCCTCAGTGTAACGAACGATTTTCTTTATAATTTAAAGTTAACTGGATAAAATTGTGCAATAAATCGTAAGTTCGCCTTCAAGGCTCCCCCGAAATACTTAGCAGACACCTTGCTAATTTTTTTGTTTTCTTTTAATATTCAGGTTAGTTTTGACACCACAATTCACTTTACGTTACTTCAAGGAAAATGGCCAACTAGTGGAGCAAAAGGTACACAGAATTACGTATAAGATGTACATATGAAGAAAAAATTATATATGTTACTTGGACCAATTTTCAATAGACCTTATAAATATCCTATTTCCCTAAGGGATAGACCTTCGTCCGCTTGTAATATGGTGCGGGACGAAGATTTCGTCTCTAGCTCGGACGCTTCACGGCCTAAAAATCTCGCTCCTCTCGCTTAGAAACTGGTGAGGTCGACTTGTGGCAAGTCTACCTAATGGATAAAAGTACACAGCTAAGGGTGGAATTGCATTTTAGTAGGAGAAGTTGACGGATGAAAGAAATTAAGTTAACTTAAGTTACCTTTTTGAAAGTTATTAGCTGTTGCAAAGAAATTGCTAGGATAACAAGTGCGAAATTGTACATTACTTGTGAGATGAAAAAGTCTGAAAATCTTTTTGCTAATCTAACTGAAAATACTTGCAGATACTAAAATGATAACTTAACTAATAATTACCTATTTTGTTCTTGTTTTTTTTCGTGATTTTTGTTTTGTTTTGGTTTTTTTTTTTTTTTTTTTTTTGTCAAAAAACAGGTAGCTCCAACTAATTGTCCTTACCAAGGTTACGTGATAGGAAAAGAGAGGGGGGGGACAGTTATCCTTGATTAAGAATACCTTTTTTGGATTGGGGTAATAAAATACTTAAATTTTTGTTTTTATATGTGGTTATTTTCCTTCTTACCCTAAATTTTAAATATTTTTTTTTTT